GCTGGTGTGAGGTGCAGGGCTGTTGTGAGAGTGTGTGGGGCTGGTGTGAGGGGTGTGAAGTTGGTGTGCTGAGGTGTGGGAGAGAGGGCTGAGGTGTGGGGGGGTGTGAGGCTGGTGAGAGAGTGTGAAGCTGGTGTGACAGTGTGAGGCTGTTGTGAGAGTGTGGGGCTGGTGTGAGGGTGTGAAGTTGGTGTGAGAGTGTGAGGCTGGTGTGAGAGTGTGAGGGTGTGAGGTTCGTGTGAGAGTGTGAGGCTGGTGTGGGGGTGTGAGGCTGGTGTGAGATTGTGAGGCTGGTTTAAGAGTGCGAGGCTGGTGTGAGAGTGTTAGGATGGTGTGAGATTGTGAAGGTGTGAGTCTGGTGTGAGAATGATGTGAGAGTGTGTGGCTGGTGTGAGGGTGGTGAGGCTGGTATGAGGGTGTGAGGCTGCTGTGACGTGTATGCATGTGTGAGGGTATGTGAGAAATATAAAAAAATATTTTATCAATATAATTCCTTCCTCAGATACTTTAATCAACTTCAGTTAACCTGTGCTCCGGGGGTAGCACTCATGGTGAGACCTGCCCGAAAATATTCTTTGTCCCTGGACATGTCACGGCATAATCCAGCAATGAGAGAATAGACTTGTAATCTGAAAAGGTTGACACATCCAGCGTATCAGTACAGGAGTGAGGGTGAAGGATGTATGAGTACATGACATGTGTGTGTGTGTGTGTGTGTGTGTGTGTAAAGCCTGGTCTGCTCTAAGGTAATAAACAACCGTTAGAGATTGACATCTCTTTACTAAGAAAATAATCACAAAAACTTAACTCTGACACCACTCACACAAAAAATAAATAAACAAAACAATCAGTAAAACAAAGAACAGGTATTTCCTCCGGCTGCAGATGAAAATTCCCTCTAACCAGCCCTGTAGAATGTTCCGGTAAAACTGTGATCAGCTCTCAGGGGGAAAGTCCAGGGCAGCTTCCTCACTTGGTGCAGAAGGAAAATCCAATTAGTACACAACCAGAGTTGGGATAGAACAGCTCGGTGAAGTATCGGCTGTGGTGAAGGCTGGATCATGTCTGACGAGCTTCTCACCTCCGTCTCCCCCCCCCCCCTTTTAGTGGGGCCGTGAACAAGCAAACAAGCGGGAGACAACTATCTCGCTCGTTAGAGTGTGTGTGTTTGTTTGTGATCTGTCAGACAATGGCAACTACCCCGAGATGTCGCTGCTGTCCGTAGCTAGCAAGATTATTGCCCAAGTCCTCCGAAACAGACTTCTTCCTCAGGCGGAAAACTTCTTTCCATAGTCTCAATGTGGCTTTAGACCATTACGTGGCACCTCTGACATTATCTGTGCTACCGGCAAGATACAGAAAAAGTGCAGGAAACAACGTCGTGACCTGTACATTGCCATCATCGATATAACCAAGGCCTTCGACTTAGTCAACAGGGAAGCCCTCTGGCGCACCCTCAGCCATTTGGGATGCCTACTGAAATTCATCGCCACCGTGAGGTAACTCCACGATAGCCTGAATGGCAGCAGTGCCATGCACAATGGCACCCAGTCTGTGTTCTTCCCCATACAAACAGGGGTAAAACAAGGATGTGTACTGGAACCAACTCTCTTTTCCATTTTCTTGGGTGCCTTCCTCACTCGTTTCAGCAACAATTTAGCCGGCGGGTGGACATGGAGTATGGGATGAAAGATCTTCTCAGAATAAAACGACTCCAAGCAAGCACGAAGGTGTCGGCTGCTTCCATTATTGAACTTCAGTATGCAGACGAACCTCACCCTTGTCCGTCACACAGAGTACGACCTACAGGAGATCCTGAACACCTATGCAGATGCGTATGCACACTTCAGCCTTGAGGCGAATGTACATAAGAATGAGGTACTCTTTCAACCAGCCCCTGGTTCAGCCACACCTCCACCATCCATCCAGCTCAGAGGTATTAACCTCTCTAATGTTACCCACTTTCAGTATCTCGTCTCCCACGTGTCCACCACCGCGTACATCGATGAAGAGATTCAACATCGAATTAGATGTGCGTCACAAGCCTTTGGCAAACTCCGTACCCGCTTCTTAAGCTGTAGGGAGCTCACATTATCTACAAAGTTGCACGTATATCGAACAGTGTTCCTCCTCACCCTGCTATACGGCAGCGAGACATGGATCACATACAGGAGGCACCTCAGGGCACTTGAAAACTTTCAGCAACGTAGTCTACGCTCCATCCTCCGAGTTCGCCGGGAAGACAAGAGAACAAATGCTAGTATTCTCACTGACACCAACTGTAGGACCATCGAGGCTACCATTATCCATGAAGAACTACGTTGGACAGGCTACATTGCTCGCATGGGCGAAAGTAGACTGCCAAAGTAGCTACTTTACAGTCACCTAACGAATAGTAAATGTAACACTGGAGGGCAACTGAAAAGGTATAAGGATAGTCTTAAGACATCCTGAAAAGTTCCAAATCGACCCCCTCACCTGGTAGACGATTACTCCACATCGTAACGCTTGGAGGAGCAAAACACAAGAAGGTGCCAATACTTTCGAATTACCCCGACTGCAAACTGAGGCAGACAAGCGCCAACTCCGGTAAGACGCTGCCGCCGCTCCTCCCGCACTACCTGTGCAGGTGTGCCATGAAGGTGTACTGTGTAGGTATTCCATGTAGGTGTAAGGGAGAACCTGGTCAATTTACAGTATTACATTTGCCTGTTTAAACTAACTTAAACGTTACTAAGTATTTTTGTATAAATATTTAGTTCATTTCAGAAATCTCTACACTAGACAAATATACAAACCAAGACAAACAAAAGCTACAGAAACTCAATGTAAATTAACGGCATTAAAATGACCATTTTGGAGTTTGACGGCCATATTGGATTTGAAGGAAAATTATAGGAAATTCTAAAGTGATAAACTGAGGTGTTTCCGAGGCTGAGACGTGGCTGTGAGGGGTCAACATGCTGCACTTGTCTCGGTGTGTGGTAAGGGTGGCCGCTGCCTCCGTCCGGCTCAATATAAAACACAAGTCACACACTCATACATTATCTCTCGTGTCATAATTCACTTATGATGTCTGAGACACTCTTGTTGTTATTGAAGAACACTTTAATCTACATTCAGCAACTATATAAGTACAAGTGAGGCCCAGGTGAACGAACACTGGAAGAGGAAAAGTTGGTGTATATATTGAAGGTGTGAAGAGAAGGTTCGTGTTCACCTCACTGTGTATCGCTGTTAACCCTTTGAGTGGCAGTGGTTACTCTCAGCTGAGTAAAATCTTCTGGTGTCAACCAGAATATAATACCTAAGTGGGACACTGCCCTTTAAACGGTTAACCCCTGCTCGAGGAAGATGGTCTTTGTGCTACGATCAAATCTTATACAAAAGTGTTGTAATAAAAAAAGTGTTACAGCGTCAGTAATAATTTTCGTTTTGTTGGTGAGCGTTTACCAAGAGGATAATGTAAAGGAGAGTGACAAAGATGGTGACATATATAGTGAGGAGGCTGGTGAGCAGAGGAGAGGACCACATGTTTACCGTGGAGAAACAGGCCAGACAGGTGTCGCTCCCTCTTCACTATCACTGGGGTGCCAGATGAAAAAACACTTTTCGCTGCTCACCTGCTACAATATCCTGCAGACAACAGCAGCTTGACGAGCGACAGGTGGACGCCGCTACACCCTCGGGGAGACCAACACCGGTCAGCGGCTGTCAAAGGGGTGAGACACCTGCTGCGGAAGAGGTTGTCGTCGTCTGGAGCTTCCACCGAGGATTACCGCAGTCTGGCGGAGCTGCTTCCTACACTCTTAACCTTTCAACACCACACTAACAAGAGTCAAGAGGATGACCACAAGAAGGAAGGTCAAACACCTATCCTCCGCCTTAACAGTAGGATTGATGCCAACGGCGGAGTGTTGCCCTACGTGCCCTGTGCCATAGTGCCCTTTGATCACCCGCAATCCTTCACCGCCTGCTTCGCCCATAGACTCAAGAACAAGAATTCCCTCTGGATCGCTTTCCTGGGTGACTCAAAAATCAAGGCATTGTTTTATGAGTTTCTTCAGAGAACCGACAGTGAATATCGGTACCTCATCCACCTTCTGGTGAGTCACTGATACTTCTGAATATTCTCACTGACTGTTTACATACAACTCTCTCTCTCTCTCTCTCTCTCTCTCTCTCTCTCTGTCCTTCTCTGTTCTCATATATAAATATATATATATTAATAAAGACAAAGACTTATAGTTGTTATCTCTGGTGGCCGCAGAACACAACCATGAGCTACGAGGAGATGAGGAGGACCACCTTTAAGCTACTCACCGACACGGAGGCCGCCACACCTGTAGACCCGCGCCTCCGTATCTCCTTCAAGTATGGCGGGAGTGTTTACTGATGTTGGGATGGTGCCTCTTGGTTACTGAGTGATGTTAAAATTATGCTGGGAATGTTTTACTGGTTAATTTTACAATATGTGTGATATATGTGATGTTACATTTCCATTTGAGATGTTCTAATGGATACTGAGAAATGTTTCTGAAATATGATGCTTACGCTGTTTATAATCATTATTTACATAAATTTTCTTATGTTTTGGGTTTGTCCGACTTAACATCTTTTGTGATGTTAAATTATGTTTAAATTGTGTCGCTTTTATGTTTTTTACTCCCTGTTTTTTACTGCATGACCTCCACGACTCACAGCTGTACTGTTAGTACTGCTTCTGCTGCTGTTCTCTACTGTCTACTGTTAGCTACTTCCTGCAGCTGGTCTAAGAATAAGTCATTGCTGATACTCTCAGCTGAACTAGTGGTAGCTGTTACTGTCAGCTGCTGTCACTCTATTCCCTGCCTGACTCTATCTGACTTATTGAGATTATTTTACTGTTATTTCTTAAGTTGTTGCTGTTGTTATCTCTGCTGTAGTAAGCGCTGTTGCTCTTATCATCGATATTGGTGTTGGTATCAAAGTCACAGCCGTCAGTAATTGGGTCACAGTTTCAGGACGTTCATGGAGGTAACGCCGTCCAAGGTTCAGGAGACCAAGGAACTGAGACAACTAAGTCGGTGGGCCAAGAGGGAGGACCCGCTCCCTCACATCCTTATAATAGGTAAGACAACATCCCCACAACACCTCCACTGCAAGCAGTTAGTGAGCGAAGCTTCGTCTGGCGTAGACTTTAAAACCATGATATTATAAGGTGGACTTTTGCAAGATCTGCAGGTAGGAGGCGGGCGAGCGCTCGTCTGGCTTAGCTTCAGTTGCTGTCTGAATAAGCAGGTGTCATAATAGAATCATGATAGATATTTATTGTCTTATGTACTGCACAAGATGTGCTGTACATATTTTGTGTGAGAACAAAGCTGAGTTCACACACGTTTATTTATGTTAAACCAAACCTGATATAATCTAACGTAATTCACCGATCGCGCCCAAGCTTATCGAAAATATAGTATCTGAAAATCGACTTAATGCTCTTAATTGTTTCTGTATATAGTATGTATATAATGAAATGAGAATTTTTTCTGTCATATGTGTACAATTGTATAGCAACATGGTTATTTTATCATTATACTTATCTCAGTGACGGCAGATTGTCTCACACCCACCATTAGGTACATCTGTCCTCAGGGAACACCAGGTATAACACTGATTGATGGATATTTAGAGAGAGTAAGACAGATGAGAGACAGGGTGTATTTCCTCGTCCACTTCCTCAGGCTACACGTCGTGGATGATACTACATATGATGATGATGAATTACACCGCCGACGTGCTGGAGGTCATGAGAGAGATGCATCAACAGGTCGTCCCTCTCCTACACCAGGTCAGTAAGTCCTTTTGGTCGCTCCCTCACCTCCTCATCCTCACCATTATCTTTAAATGTCTTTCCTTCAATACACTTTTACTCGAACTTGAATTACCCAATTCACTATGTCACCTTTTCACCTATTCCTTTTTTATCAATCTTTTTATTTTTATCTTTTGTATGTCTCTCGTTTAGACATGAAATTATAACAGGTTGAAACACAACTGGCACTGTACTATACATCTCTCCCTTCATTCTGGTAATTATCAGTTAACCAGTAAGGTATTTATGAATTTCATCTTAATAACTATAAACGTGTTTGTGTTTTGCGGGAAATCATTCAGGATAGGGTGGTACAACTACAACTGTGTCACACTGGATTAGTCACACACTGTCTTCTTGGGAGTTCGACTCAGGAATTGCTGGAAGGCCAACTCAGTGTATTGGTATCCCGCCGCGGTAACCACAGACACAAAGTTCCGTGAAAATTATTTTGATTTCAGATCGCTCAGAGGACGCGGGTGTTGGTGGTGTCTCAGGGTCGCTACAGGGAGCACAGTCTTACTGGAACAATCTACAACAAGGCGTCAATCTTAGGGGATGCCACCTTCGACTGGAGCGAGATGCTGTTCCAGTATTATCTCCGTCAGTATAAAGACCACCACCTTTCTCCTGCCACGCCCCACGTCTCCTACACCTTTCCAACACCAATCACTGGGTCTCTAAAACAACACTCCCCCAACCCCCTGGGTCCCATACCCAACACTGTAAGACCACAAACTACCAGGACCAGCAAAGACTATTTGGACGCTAGAGAGACAGGTGGTGGAGTGTGGTGGTGGGACACTGGTGTGCCGCTTAACCTGGCGGGGATCAGCGAGTGTGAAGAACTGTACCGTCGAGGGCTGGTGGACAGCTCCGTGTACACCAGTGAACACCTCAGGTGTACAGACGACCATCACGTAGGAGAGGACGTGCTGTCTGACCAAATCACCATGCTGCTTAACCTTATGTGTAACTCTATCATGCAGCCACATACGAATGTTTGTTGTCACTGAAGAGGTATTCCATCTTGGTCATAGCCTCGCGCTGCACTGCCTGCCTCCGTTAATGACTCAAATTGACGCAGATAATGATTAACAAATGTTATCACTGTTCCAAAGAAAATTATTTACTTTTATACAAGTATAAAAATGTATTGTGAAAACTTAAGATGAAGCTAATAAACTTTGGAAGAAACGACCTTTCATCTGATCACCTGAAGAATCGTCACCCCAGAATGTCCACCTAAAGAATCGTCACCCCAGGATATCCCACCTGAAGAATTGTCACCCCAGTCTGCTCCA